ATGATTTACTGCAGTTTTTGCAAGAATTTTGCTTCTAAAAACTGAATTATAGCCGTGGTAGCATTTACATTCTATGTCAAGTTTGTGACTAGGTGTCATTTAAATAACACGTTATGTTTATGAAATACTTCTGTACATGTATGAAAACAAAGTTTTGATGCCATGAATGAAATACGTGGCTCGACTCAGTCTTTTACGCTCTTTTCGAATGTGACTTCAAAATCGGAAAAAAGTAGTAGAACATGGTTAAAAACTGAAAATACGTACATATGTTACGGTAAAATTCGTCTAATAGAAATCACCAGTACATCGACTTTGGGCACCAGTGATGAGTTACAGCTTGCTCGATGCAGTTTTGGACGCTGATTCCAATGGTGAAAGCCGCAGTTTTCTGGCTGTGTAGGAAAACAAGTTATAGTCAAAATATTTTTCTAACGAAAAGTAGGATTTTTATCATTTTCCAACGGACATTATCTCCATCGCACAATTTGTACAAACCACAGTCCCCCAAGTACACCCTTGGTTCAAGTTTCAAACGAAAGAGTACGTTTAAGTCCACATATCTGGATAAAGAAAACTTATACCAGACCTCAGGGCCAAGACATCTAGATCTCTGAAAAACCCGGCTCTCCGTCTCCGCCAGTAACAAAGGTTTGCGGCTTTCACCATTGGAATCAGCGTCCAAAACTGCATCGAGCAAGCTGTAACTCATCACTGGTGCCCAAAGTCGATGTATTGGTGATTTCTATTAGACGAATTTTACCGTAACATATGTACGTATTTTCAGTTTTTAACCATGTTCTACAACTTTTTTCCGACTTTGAAGTCACATTCGAAAAGAGCGTAAAAGACTGAGTCGAACCACGTATTTCATTCATGGGATCAAAACTTTGTTTTCCCGTAATATTAGATCGAAGTGCCCAAAAAACGGTATTTTTCGCCGTATTTTCAGTTTTTGACCTAGAAAAAATACAGAACCGTGTTTTAATTTTCTATTTTGACATATTTTAGATAGAAACATCAATTCTGAACACGACTGAGTGTGTTTCAGATTTTTGAAACACGTTAGTGAGTCGGCTGACGACGAAAACGATGGTCGAAAATACCATCAGTTAAAAAAAGTGATTTGGTAGGCAGCAGACCAGGGACAGAAATTTTTTGTAAAAACTGAATCGGCTGTTTTGTTCAGAATTCGATGCTAGGTACAACCGTGTGATTTTTTCGCCAAAAAAGTATGACATGAAAAATAACCTTACTTCTCCTTTGCACGTTTTTCTTTCATCTTACAAAAGTCTATAAATTCTTTACCTTTTCAGCATGCAATAAATGCATTGTTTCACTTTTAAATTCCGCTTGCAAGGACAGGTTCCTTTTTTTTTCTTTCACAACGTCTACACGAGTCGAAATAATCACTTTGTCCAAAATATAGTGCGACAGATTTTCCATTGCTGAGAAATTTCTAGTTCAATGATGCGTCGCATTTGAGAAACGCCAGAAAGCAGAGTGCCTTTAAGGGTATCCCTCCCCCTCTTTTTTCAAAAACCTTTTCATTTTGGACTGAACATAGTCTAATGTACAGGAAAGTCTGGACTATAAAATGAGACCACTCCCAGCTCTCCACAACCTTCCTTGAAAAAATTATAAAGTTTTTAATTTTTTCCTACAAAGCCTAAAAAAATCTCAATTTTTTAGTTTCGTAAACTTTTCTCTCCTTTCCAATATATTCAAAACTCTTCTCATACATGGACTGATAGAAGAAAGTCTGCTCTTCAATATGAGATGCCTTGCAGAATTTTCTGATGAGTTTTCATGGAGATATAAGCATCACCGCAAATGCCCTGAAAAACAGAGCCCTGTATACAATGTGCTTTTCTCACTGCGTTTTTTCGATAGTCCCTTCAATCCAGTGACATTACTACCCCACGAAAAACGGGTTCGATCGAGCTCGAATTTTTACCACAGATACTATAGACCCATTTTCAGGTTCGCTTTTCGTTTAAAGCGTTTTGAACTTTGTGCATGAGAAGATTTTTAAAATAAAAAACCGGTTTTCTATACAGGATTTTTGGTATTTTTCGAATATCACGAGAAGAAAAGCATATTTTTCGAAAAGAAAAAAATGAACCTAAGATAGGTCTAAAGTACCTGTGGTAAAATTTTGAGCTGGATCCGACCATTTTTTCGAGGGGTCATAATGTCACAGAAAATCCATAGCAGAACATGTTAGAAAATTGTGGGTAAAAATACATCGATTTTCTTTTTCGATGTTCTTCCTCTGGTATATATATCACCCTGATCAAACATCGACCTCCCAGGTTTTCAAGAGGGTCAAAAAAGCGGGGGTACCCTTAAAAAGTGTTCGCGCATACAGAAACTGAATCCACACGATTAGATCTGCAAACCACTCTAGTAGTCTGAGCAAACTGCGATATTTGACCTAAAATGAATATCCCTGCTTCAATAAATCGACTATCGGACATCTTCGTTCTCTCTTACCATTTGCTTTTTGTTGATTATCTATCAATAAACACGATTGTGTATCAGTCGTTGAGTTTTTCTTTTCTGTCGTTTGAACGTTAAACGATGTTGAAAACTGGTCTAATGATAAAGTAGTCTCGATAGCTTTTTGACGACAAACACTTGCTTGTTCCGAGTTGCCTTTCTTTTCATGAATAATAGCCATCTTTTCATAACAACATTTTTTTGTCGACATTTCGTCGCTTCTGTTACTTTCCAACATTTCGATTGCTTTTGCATATGAATTAAGAGCTAAATTCAAAGTTCCATATTCATAATAAACGTCTGCCATTTTTGCGTAACATGATATGAGCAAGTGAGAAGTCTTCTCTTTTGCCACCAAGAGCTTAATTGCTGCCTTGTACAATTCAACTGCGTGCTCTAACTCAATTTTTTCATGATACGTGTCGGCAATATCTATATATGTCCGTATAATACATAGCGAGTCTTCACCTTCTTCTGATACTTTCATATTGACTTCAATTAGTTGCTGGTAAAAACAGACTACCATATCGTAATATTTTTTATTTTTATAATACTTTACGATATCATTAATACAAAAAGCAATAAAGTAGACATCGTTTGGTTGATATTTCATTTTAACTTCGACCGCCTTTTTGAGCAATTCAACTGCTAAGTCATCTGATTTTTTGTAAAAATAAATATTAGCTATTTTTTTATATGCATTCGAAATAATGTCATAATAACCTGAAATATTGTCTGCACAAAAATCGACAAATTTCTCCCAGTTATAACAATAATCAAGGTCGAAATCCGTCCGACTATTGTCATTTGAATCGGTTGATGCTATTTTATTATAAATGTGACGAAAATCAAAGTGTCCTGTCTGATTACTACTCATAATTGCCAATTCTTTACACTTTTCCCAAGCTAAATGAAAATCGCCTTTTAATTTAATAATACAGGCGATGTTAATTTTACAATCAATAAGAATAAACCGATCCATTAGTAGATCCGTGGATAGTTGTTCTATGGCTAAGTTGAAGTATTGCAATGCTAGATCGTACTCTTTTGATCTTCTATGTACTGTCCCAACACATTGGTAGATACTTGCAATTAGAGCTTGTTGGTTGGATTGAGCGTTCTTTTGATAAGCCTGTAATGCATCATGCTGAAGTTTGAGTGCTAAAGGATTGTTGTTATTTTCATATGCGATCCAACCAAGGCCAACTAAATAGAGGTCCTTACTCAAACACAGATGTTGTTGTATTAGATTGTAATATGTTCTTAGTCTATTTACATCATTCGTGTCCTTTAATAATAAATGTCCCACTTCAACAAGTTGCCTTTCAACTGTATTCGACATTTTTACGCTTTTATATTGACTGTTTATTAAACGTTCATGATCTTCATTGATCAGTGTCAGTTTTATGTACCAGACAGAATCATCCTCATTATATTCAACATTACGCAGGAGAAATAGAGCACCTGGAGCAACCAAAATCTCTTCCTCAGCTTCGTTAGCGCTTAAATGAGAAATGTTAGCCAATGGTAATTTTGTTGATGGTACGTGAACTTCAATTTCTAAAACGACGTGTTGATCATCGTTATTAACAGAATCTGTTGGTGTACCAGCAAGAAACTGAGCAGCTTTTTTGTTTTGGGTGGTCGAAAAGAAACCGTTTGCGAAAATTAATTTATTTGCCTGATTGTAAAAATCTGATTTCAATGATTCGATTTCTTTCTTTGACATAAGTTGACCTCGAAATAGTTTAATAATACGTTGATATTTGTTTAGTTCTTTAAATTTGCAGTACTCCTTCTGTAATTGTTTGAATAAATCAACAATAAAAAAATGCATATAAAATATTACTTTAATGTTTTGGTCATGGAAAGCCTTGTTAAGAAGACGATAAAGAAGACAATCTCTTGTGTACCACCATATTGCCTTTTCAGAATCATATGTTTGTTCAAATTCATTCAGGAACTTTTCATTAGCTAAATTGTCCCGGTAATATATTTTGAATTTGTTAATCATTCTTTTTCTTGCATTAACATTATTTTCTATATTCAGTAATGCATCGACAAAAAGTATAAACCAACAAGAAGTATTAATACTGACTGTCGTTCTTGAAAACTCTTTAATATTCTTTGAAAGTTCTCTCAATAATTCGTCTATTGTTGTAGTTACTATTTTAACCTTAAAAGAACACATACAAAGGAAGCTCAACTTTTTACGATTTTCCTACATATCTGTTTCGAACTATTCCCACTGAAAATATTTCTCGACACAGTCTAATATCACAATTTTACAGAAACAGTCGACATAAATTGAATTTGTAACAGACATTACATAAGCACATTATGCACATTAAGCACATTATTACATAAGCACTTTTTTTGGGTGTTCTTATCCTTTCTTCTTTGTGTTCGTGGGTGTTCTTTGGGTGTTCGTAGGTGTTCATTCAAAATGTACGCTTAAAAAGCTAAACTATAAGTATATCTTTGGGTGTTCGTTAGGCGTTGCTATACTCATGCTATACTCAATTTGGGGGTGTTCGTGGCTGTTCGCGTCTTTTAGTAATACCCGCTTTTTTCTGTATTTTTCCTACTCATCACAATCCACATACGATATTTATAGCAAATAGGTCAGTGACATCAGTGTCCATATCTATCTGTCGCTACTTGACTTCTATCAAATGATGGCTCTTAAAGTTGACAGGCAATATGTACTTTTGAATAAGATTTTGTTCTAGTTAGTTCAAGAGAAAATATCATTAAAGATATCCAGACAATTGTTGATGCTATTCAAACAGTTAGGGCTAATCAGCAAGAATATTTGAAATTCGACGAAAAATTAAAGCGATTTAACGATATTTTACAAAATACAGAAAATCAACTGGAAGCAAAACCATCAAATGATCTTTACAATCTATTAGCACAATTATACCGAACTAGACAAAGTGCCAAAAATTTTCTTAGTCAATATAATGGCCAAGATTGTTTGAATAGAAATGACTTATATGGCATACTAAAAACAGATTTGGAACTGCTTAATAAAAATTAACGCAAGACATAATTGATACATTATTATGCGGTCAAAATACATCAATAATAAACAAACTTGAAGCTCATACAGATGTCAAGAACAAAGACAGACAAAAGATAAAGAAGAAATCATACACTATGAATGATTTTGAATTATTATTCGATCCTATTCGAGAACACTATAGAACAACATTTTCTCGAATTGAACGTTTAGTTAATCGAAGAAAAAATTATTCAATTGATGATGCTTATATTAATTTGTCAATTGTTGAAAGTAAAGAACTATCATCAAAAGAAGAAAAATTTCATTCAGATGCGAATTATACAACCTTTGAAGAAATTTACGGGACAAAACGCCCTATTAAAATTCAGCAACTATTCAATGATAATCGTAAACGCCTGTTAGTACTTGGGCGAGCAGGGATTGGAAAAACAACATTTTGCCAGTATATTGCTTATCAATGGGCCAGTGGAAAGTTATTTCAACAATTCAAATGTATTCTGTGGATTCGATTTCGTTTTTTAAATGATACACGTTATCCAAAAAAGTTGAATAATGAAGACGCATCAGCACTCAAGTGCTGCAACATAGAACGTGAAAACAAGAACGCAGCAGAATAGACTCGCACATCATTAACATTTGCGTTTAGGATTTTGGAGAGCGTTAATCAAATACCGTGCTGCAAAAAG